TCAACGAATTTATTTTTTGTACATTATTGTAATCACTACTGATTAATAATCAGCAATTGTAACACTTTGAAAACAAGTAAGTTATTCACTTGTGTGAAACGCAGCATGACCGTTACCGTGATCATTTGCTACTCAGAATGCATTCGTTTTTGTTTTGACTTCTTTTAAAATATACTTTTCGTTATCAAAAAAAATAAGAAAATAAATATATATTACATTAAATAATATACTGAGTATTCTTTTTGTTATCATGCGAACATTTTTTTTTTGATTGACTTTTATTTTAATTTCCCCGATGTCTAGATTAAACATGGAATGTACAGTCACTCGAACATGCCGCAATCGACTGTCAGACAGCTGTCTGCATGGTTACTAAAAGAGTGACCGGTGCTAACGAATTAGTCTATTCAAGATATTGTAGTATACAGTACCGTAATCTGCAAATGCATACAAATCTATTTGTAGATAATATTTATTGTGCAGTATGTTATACAGTGTGAAATTTTGTTTGTGTTCAAGTTTGTCTGTGTGTAAAAATCCGAAAGTGCCTTAGAATCGCAACAAAGTTGCAATCGAGTGTCGTGCATCTCATTATCCCTTCTGGCCTTTGTTTTCTGAAAAAAAAATTCCCAGAGTTCGACTAAAGAAAAAAACTGCGAAATATCCTGAGATGAAAGGCGCAACTTTTCATACATTTCTTTCGTCCAAGAAATCAACACTTCAACGCCAATGAATTCGAATGCTTCATCGTCGTTTGTTCAGGGCATTTTCCAGGTGGAAAACCATCCTGTGCCAGTATTTTTTGACTACCGTCTTTCAACCGCAGTTATACATCGATTGAAAAACGAAGACTGTCAGCTTCCCGAGACGAGCGCAAATGAATCATTGAGCCGGATTTGATGGAAAATTCGCTCGTTGCCGATTCCCACATTGATCTTGTTCAGGATCCTTATAACGACATTTGTTGCGAAGTTGAAGTTAAAATAACTGTGGAAGGAAAAAATGCATGTCCAATTATATAAAATATGAATAAAATATTAAATCAAACTTGCACTACACAGTTACAAACACCAGAAACTATTTTAGAGTTTGATTTAATAATAAACCATGGCTTGTAAGGATTTTCCTTCATGGATCATTGCCGTAAACACTTCCATAACGAAAATAAATTCTGTATTCTGCACATGATGAAGCTTTACGGAAATGATGAATTAAATATTAACCATTATCAAGTCGATATTTTTTCAGTCTGGCGGTTGTCCAGTCACTTTGATGCAACAAATATGCAAATATATCAGTTATTTCAAATGAAGGCAAAGCACGAAGGTTTTTTTGCCAAGTTTTTACGTTATACGGAGCTACCAAAGTTATCGTCGACTCACCGTGTTTTACAGTACGACGCCGATTGATTCTTCGTGATCGTCAGGCTCCAAAGGGCGAACATTTATCTCGTATGAAGAAATTTAAAGACTTTTCAAAGATTTTTTTTATTTTTCCTGTAATTTAAAGACAACTCAGACTTTCCAGACCTCAAAAATCCAAAGACTTTCAAAGGATTTTCTCAACGCTATTGACCCTGTATTTAGAATGAATGGCAGATTTTTGCTCTTTAAAAATAATCACTACTTTTTATTTTAAGACTGGAAAGAATTTTCCCCTCCTCAGTTTTAACCTTTTATTAGCAGTTGGAGAATGAGTTGTCTCTCTCCACACACATAATACTTACATTTTAATCCCATATTGGACAGCGCTGACACTGCATAGTAAAGTGTTGCTACATCGGCACTTTCATTGATGGCTGTTGTCAGTACTTGCTCAGCATCACCACCTGCAATCTGTTCAACAAATTATATCGAGAACCAAACAGAAAAAAAAAATTAATTTAATTACAACATCTATTTGGGACAACAGATTTATCATAAACATATCATACAGGATTCTTTAACCTTTTCACCGCCACTTTCTTGCCCTAATTTTTCTGCACTTTTTTCTTACAATTCTTCAATAATCCTGGAAATGAATCCTAATTTTGGAGACAACAGATAAAATTTGCATCAATTTTCAGTTTTTGGTCAAAAAAATGGCTATTTTGTTCCCAATCTTCTGAAAGAAAGTGCACACTATAACCGGACCATTTTGTGAATTTGTGATGGAACGAGGGAACGAGGGAACTGGTGAACAGTTAAAATTTCAAATGCCAAGTGTATAAATCTTATTAAATATTGTGTTCATTTTGACTACAGTAAAAAAAAGAAAAAAACGTGCATACAACATACAAATTTGCAAAATACTGGTGAAAAATAATGGCACTAAAAATTTATATAAGGTATTTGTATCATGTCCTTCCCTATTTAGTCAAGAGATCTCATATTGAGAAATCTCGGTGGAGAGAGAAGCATTTATTATAGCATTCTATACTACACAGTAACTCACTGTAATCGAAGCTACCGTGTGAAGAGGTAAAATGCAATAGTCTAAATATTGAAGAAGGAAGTACAGAAATCAAACCCACTAACAGCAATACTACAAAACTAACCACAACATGCACTGAATTATTGAAATAGTTACTTTGATCCCATTTATTTACTCAAGTACACAAAGTTACTTATAGCAGGGTTCTCCCCAGCAGACAGAGAGTGCTGGACGGTATGAATATTCATGAATATTCACTCATTAATATGCATGAACTAATTAATATTCAAAATGGCCACATACTGGCAAGAAGACAGGTCATATGTATTGATATTTATTATACAGTATGAAACATCACAACACAACACAGGATAAATAATACACAAACAAATCATCTTTGAAGACATGATGCATAACTAATTGAAAGCACAAAATATTTACAACAGTTACAATATGAAATCATATTACTATTTGTTGATGTTAATTCGTTTTTTTTAAAACTAATGTTTTATGAAGTCAGCCAAAATAAAATAATGTTTCAAAAAAGTACTATAACTTATTTTCTGTATTTTTTTACTGCTGGAAATTT